CAACTGATTGATGGCAAAGTTAATCCAAAAGAAGTTGAACAAGATAAAGTTTTTTAAAAGGATAAGAGTTTAAAAAAAATTCAAAAAGTTGGACCTAAAATATGACAAGAAAAGGCAACCGGCAAAAGGAAAAATACAGAAAATACATATCCTTTTCTGGGGAATAATAAAATATTAAATAATACAGAGCCTGTATTTATGAAAATATATGCTGAATAAATCAGTTTGCTTATCAAAATTTTCATATATATTTTGTTACCTTTCCTCTCATTACTCAAGCTATTTAAATGCATCTCACAGAAAATAAAGAGTAGCTAATTTTGCATTGCAATTGGCGCAAACTTGCCTGACGCTCTTTTAGTGCCTCCTCCTTGTACCTGCATTGAATTTCAATTAACGTTCAAATTGCTTACAAATTCCACTTGCCATTCCAATTTCAATAACGAAAAAATAATAAATAAAAAGAGCTCAACAAAAAATAATACAAACAAATGCGCATGAAATTAATTCGAAGGAAAAATTGCCAAATACCAAAACCAAGCAACTCCGAATAAAATATATGGCACAATAAAAACGAATTAAATTAAAATTAAGTGACTTGCTTTGGATTTATGAGTTGATAATACGTATTTTGTTGCCATGCTAAAAAACAAATCAGTGTATTTCATCGCTAAAAAATTAGGTAAACGAAAACGTATCTGTAAATCCATAAAAGCCGCCAAATTTTACACAAAAACCGAGCAAAATGTAACAAATTCAAGAACTGATTAAGTAAACGAAAAATAATCATTTTATTTTCAAGGCACTGAGACTGTTTACTTGATAAATAAAACAGATTTGGGGAAAATAATACTGGAGCCGAGGTTTAAGGAATTAGAGCAATAATAAGCAAGAATTCGTTTATTTTTCATCAACACCTGAAAAATAAATATTTGTGAGACATATTTAACAATTCTAAGAAATGAAAATTTGTTGAAACTCACACGAATGTATTACTTAGCTTTGCAAGAAACCAGTTTGATTATATTTAAGTAAGAGAACATTGTAAACTTCCAGCTTAGTTACAGTGGATTAAATCAAGTCTCCGATTTTAGAACAAGTTCTGATAATTTTGTAAAACACAAATATATAATTCAGTAAGCCTAAATAGGATTCTCCACCTTCCCGGTATAACTCAAAGCCTGTGTTTATTTAATAGGCTTCCATTACACAAAGTACTTAATTAGTCATTACACTGACGGGGTAATAAATCCCACACTATATGGCACAAGCACGTTAGAACACTTTTTTTTTTATTTTAAAAAGTGCGCAGTTTCCAGTAGAAATTGAAAATATGTATCTCAAAGTACAAGATAGATTAAACACACGTAAGAAAATATATAGTGGAATAGCAATAGGCAAGAATTAGGTAATGTCATTCAAATAAATGACAGGACAAAGGTAACGAACGACAATGAGGTAAACTCTTCAAAGTTGTTTTTAAAAATGTAATTTTAGATTTTATATTTAGAGACCCGTTCCGGACATTAAGCCGCTTAATCGGACCTCCGTGACAGCCGATTTGCCGGAGTTGTAATTGCACCGAATGCAATTTCGAGGCACACAAACCCAGTCCGATGCACACGCAACTTTTGCGGTCGGAATATGCGAATATGTGAATATGTGAATAATTGAATGTTGGTGGCATCTTCCGTGTTTGGCTAAATGCAATTTTAGGTATGCCGGAGTTGCCTCACTCGATTGGCTAAGTAATTGTGCAGTCAGCGCAACGGCTGAAAGCTAAATACGAAAACCCTGGCACTCACAATAAATTGAAAGCCTAATGTAAAACATATTCAAATGAACAGGTTAAAAAAATGTATTAACAAAATATATTTATTTATAAGGGGACGGCCCAAGCAGTCAAGCTCAACAGCACGGAATGCTGCAAAGTGAGTAGAGTCCTGAAACACACAAATTAAGGATCAGCTAAGATATTGTTTAAATAAACAGTTTCAGAGCTTTAAATATAAAATATTTAAATTTAAATAAACAAAAAACAAAGCAATTAAAAATATAAAATAATGTATTAATACGTTTTTCTCGTTCTCCATCTTTGTTCTTCGAATATTAAAAATAGTACAAGGGGTTTTTTTTATTCCCTACTACCCACATTTATTTCTTAGAATTTTGCCATAATCTTTGTTTTGCGTTGTATTTGGGAATTTCCCGTATTCCCCCCCTGGTCGTGTTCACGATTCATAAATAATTTATTAGCCTCGCTTCATTTACGGCTTCTGCACATTCTCAAATTAATTATTACGAATTAACACAAAATCCAAGAAGCACGCGTCGGATAAAATTAAAAGAAAAAGCGCACAAAAATAACAGATAAATAAATGAACTTATCACCTGAGGCTCTTTTTTTTTTTTTTTTGGCCTGGCCTTTTGTGGTTTGTCTAGTTTGCTGCTGTCCAGATCAAACGAAACGCGTCGAGCATGGAGCACGGGGATAAAAAAACATTTTCTGCTGACGCACATTTCACGAAAAAATTATAGAGGAGCGCCCCTCCACCATCACCAGCTTCACCAGCAGTAATTATCAAAGCAAAGCAAAGTTTTTTGCCAAATGAATTTATAATGGTTTTATTTTTATCTTGTTGGCGAATCCAGACAGGTCTGGCTCTAAGCAGAAGCTGGTCTGTTTTTTCGGTTTCTTTTGCGTTTGGCATGTGCCAAAACAATTTGCCACCTGCTGTCCAGTGTCCGATCTTGAGCTCTCTTTTCCTTACCAAATTGTATTTACTTTTACTGCAAGAATTTCTGTCGAGGAAAACTCTCACTCACCGCAGCCGAAATGACAGCCTGACATGTCAGGTGATGTGTCAAATGTCTATCTGGCTGGCTACGTGCCGCGGCCAGGTGAAATTCAAGTCCATGTCCATGTCCGGAGACATAAAATTTAATGCAAAAACGCAAGTGAAAATTAAGCGAAGAATAAGATAAGCCGCCGGAGAAGCCGAACCTCTTTTATCCAGCTTCAGATTTGCGATGAGAAAAAGTGAAACGAGTTTGTTTCAGAGGAAAGTTTGGCCATTAATGTTCTTTAACTATTTCTAGAGAAAGTTCTAGGCACGTGGATGGGTTAGGGTTCTGCAAAAACATTTTAAATACAAGATGTATTACTCCTCTTAAAAATAACAATTACTTTCGGTTTATTCTCCTCTTAATAACAGGGTAAAATATAAAAATATAGTATTAAAAAAAAAGATTTCTTGTTCCTCTTAAAAATAACAATTACTTTCGGTTTATTCCCCTCTGTTCCCCTGTTATTAAGGGTAAAATATAAAAAAGTCACCTCAAAATAACCCATTTGTTGTGATTCGTTTGTAATTTTTAAAATTCTGGGAATCACTGTCACGACCGAACATATTGATTTATTACTTCATATATCTTTCGTCATGACCACATTTCTTTGTCAACTTTGTTAAACAATTCAAATTTGCATACGAGCGAATATATTTATATTCAAATTTGTCAACATATTGGCGCAGGCTTGGCCATTCATTTTTTTGTTTATTTGATTATTTACTTGCTTGCTCAAGTTCAGAGTTCGCATTTCATTTGGAGGCTTACGTAACCTGAACTTGCTGCCACTTAGACCCGATTTGATTGCAGGTGATCAGTGGTCCATTGAGCCGATTAGTTTTATTAAGGCGATTAGTCAAACCATCTCGCCAGCTTAAGGAATAGGAAAAGTTCGCTCTAAAGTTAATCGAGTTAGATCAGAGAAGGAAATGATGGTGCAATTAAAGGCTATTGCAGATTAGTTTCAGCAGTCCGAAAATGACGCAAATTTATGATCTAAACAAATTATACTCGGACTCGCACTCGTACTCACATTGCATGTGAGCAATTGTTCGCAACTGTCCCGATGTCGCAGATCGTTTCCGTTGACAAATTCACATTGTTGTGGCTCGATCACGAAACAATCACCCGTCAGCATCCACGTCTCTAATGCATTTTAAATGTTGTATAATTCAAAGATTTATCGATGCATGAACACCGAACGGATGTCCCCTCAAACGGACATGATTTAATAACGAAACAAAATCAAGATTTTGCAAAAACAGGCCAAGAAACAGATACAGATCGTCGATCTCTGGCGACCCCGTTTCATGTGCGTGGAAATGCAATCGATACAGCATAAATGAGTTAAGACGATGAGCAAAAAAAGAAAGAAAACCTGGCTAAAAGGGCCAACTCTCAAGAGGGGTCCCTCGGTGCAATTAAAGTGCAAAAGTGCTGAAAGGCAGGCCAAGAGCAGTAAAGCCGGCAGCCAGCAACGGTTGGTCAGCTCGGCAAATTAGCATTTAAGTGCCTCTCAACAGTTAGGCCGCCGTATATCCCCTGGGCCTAACATATATCCGAAGAGGAGTATGACCAGCGGCAATTAGAACTGAACGGAAGCTAAATCTAGAGAGCTTAAGATGAGTTATTGACTCAACCGACTTTAAGATACTTAGTAGAAGTTTAAGATACTAAAGGGTATTTATTAATACAAGTGAGATTTATGATCTCTTAAAGCTTGTATGGCAAACTTACTCAACCATCTTGTAAAGACTTTCATTAAAAATACCTCATAAAAGAGGAAACTAGAAAGGAACCATCTAACTAAGATACACCTTTATCAGAACATCTAACTAATTTCTGGACAAGTATACCCCTAGTACACGCATTTATAGGATGCTTTACGACCAGTAAATTGTACTACGTCAACAGTTATGCAAGAAATTTGTTTTTCTCCCCAGTCGTTCTATGAGTAATTGACCCATATTTAAGGTTCTCAATGCGAGCAGTGAGCCGTGCGAAAGTTTGCGTGCCTCGAGCACTAATGCCCCACCAGCAGTGGCGACTTATGGGTTATGAATAGTTTCCTGCAGCCCAGTGTGCTTAGTCGGGTGATCCACACTGGTTTTTCTGGAATTTTTGTTGTAACATTTCTTTGGGTTTATATTTACCTTAAAACTTCCACAAATATTTATTGAAGCGCCTTTGAGGTGTGTCAAGTGGGCCTGCAAGAGATAAACAAAAGAAACTATTAAAATATTTGAAGAAACGAATAAAAATAACACAAAAGATTTATCAATTTGGAAATGCGAAGATCAAAAATGTTTTCACACGCCTCGTGAAATGAGATAATTTGACGGCGGCTTTCACACGAACACTTTCCGATCGATCTGGAAGGGGGTTGCGGGGTGCCTTTGGTAATCCCCCCCGGAGTGCAATTATGGAGCGATTTATTGAAAATGAAAATAAACACACACTCTTCACCCAGACAGACAGCGAGCGAAATCAAAATCAAAATCGAATCAAAACGCGAGGCGAAATCAAAACTTGCACAATGGGAGGAAAAGCAAAACAAAAGCCAATCAAGAGCAATCAAGAGCCAAGAGCTCCAAGACTCCGCGGCCAGTCAGCCTGCAGTTTTCTTTTGGGATCGCACAGATGCGTCACAGAGCCGGCAAGCCGAGAGATACAGACAGATACAAGTGCAGATACGAGATACAAGTGCGGATACAGACGCAGATACAGAGCGAGAGATACTTTATGTAGGTTGTTTCGGGCTCGGTGTCGGGCTCCCCATTTCCCCAGCGCTGTTTAAGCCATGAATCAAGCAATTGTCGAGGCACTTTTATTCTGTTTTAAGCGATATTCATGCTGGGTTATGGGGCGGGGTAATTGGCCCGGCAAACGGGTTAGCGTTAACGCTTAACGTGCGCGTTAACGCCGACGTTAACCCAGAAGAGTGGTGTGAAAAAGTGCGCATATCGCCGCCCGGTTTCGGATACAGATACAAATGGCAAAGGCCACTCCCTGACTAATTGTTTGTTCTCCGCCAGAGATTCTGCGTATCTCCGCTTGTTACTTTTGTTTTTTGGAAAGTTCTGGGCCTGACCTTGTTTCCCGAAGACGTCGGCAACTGTTGTCATTGGGCAAATACCTACGAGGAGAGTGCGGCTAATAAAGCACATAAAATAAAGGTTAAAAAAATGTTAAAACTTAAGAAAATAAACAGAGAAAAAAAAAAGAGCAGTAGTAGAATAGAGAAAAACAAACTAGGAAAGTCCGGCCGGCCAAACAATGCCGCAACATGATTCCGCACTTTGCCACTGTTTCAACAGTTGTGTAAACAAACCGAGGAACAACTAAACCGCCACACTCCACAGCCCCCATCCAGACCATTCGATTCCCAGTTAGCTCTTGGCAGCGAATCCAATGCGACATGGTCGTGGTCCATTTCCAGCGGCCAAACCAAATTGATCTTTGCCACCAGAAATGTGTCACACTGTAACAGTTCCGGACGGGCAATTGGGTCAGATATAATGATGGCACCCGGAATGCTAAATCAATTTGGACATTCGAGAGTCCGACATTCGACATTCGACAGTCGGCACTCGGCATCCGCAGACATGTAGCTCCCTGCGGTGATCAAAAAATGCACACTGGGGTAATGTGTGTTCCTGCCTCGGCGGCTCTTAAGGTTGATTCGAGCATTAAATATGAATTTACAATCAATTAACATAATAGTTCACCTAGAATTTCGTCGATACCTTCATCAATCATTTTTGCGGCCAAGAATATAGAGAGTGACTGATAGAGTTTGCGCTCAGGGGAAAAAGACTATGTAAAGCTTGATTAAAGTCTGACCTTAAATTTGAATAAACAAATAACTTCCCCTCTCTATGCTTTTTTCCTATAAATTTATTAGAATGATGGTTGAGATGTGACCTTTGTTTGCTTAGAAATGTATTAAATTTGGCTTTATACAAAAAGTAAAGCTACAATTAATCTGGTTTTAACATTGAATAACAAATTATGTCAACTGAATTAGCTTCTATAACAAGTATATAAACCCATATTCCATTTCGAGTTTATTATCTTTTACATTCGTTTGGTGTTTGTTCCAGTTTTACACTTTCCTCATGACACAGCTCCGTCCAAGTATATCGATCAGCCATAAAGTTTACAATATCTGGCCCATAAACCAATTGCATAAACGATGAGCCCGATGAGGCTCCACTTTGGCGTAGGCTGTACCTGTATCCAGGACGGCAGCAGCCTTCATGTTTCTGATTCCGAATCTGTATCTATGCATAACTAGCAGGCCCGGTTCCGCCGGCAATGGGCTGGGATTTGAGCTAGAGTTCGGATCTGGGACTGGGCTGTGTCGTTGATAATTTATATGTGTCGTCCAGCCCCCACAATCAAGTAACCAGCATTGCCTTTGTTTTACGGCCGGGGAGGAGTGAGTTTTATTTCCGTTCCACCATGCCCATGCCCCCACATCGTTCTCCTTTCGGGCCTGGGCTCAGCGGCATCTGAGAACAATCTTACACATGTAATTGCAATTGTCGAGCCACTCACGACAGTCGAACGAGCACAGCCCGGCAACGGGTTCGACAACGAGTTGGGTTCTGGGTTTTTCGAGGAGGGAACATTTCTACCTTTTAATTTGTGCGGCATACTACGGGTACTACTCCCTGTACACGGTAAGAAATGAACCTTGAGTTTAGGTAAGTAAAGAGGTTGCTTTGCTACCAAGCTACTATGATAGATTCCTCCCGGTGTAGACCACAAAGTTGGAAGACTCTCCCCGTGGCTGCCTCACTTTAATGTTGTGTAAAGAAGTTCTAAGACCCCGACAATTGCAACGGAAGTGCGTTCATTATTTTTAATGATTTTATTTAGTGGCTCCGCTGGGCAGAGCTCTACCTGAAGGCCTTCGAATTGCGCTCTGCCTTTCGCATTTGAATGCCTTTGAACAGGGACAGGATCTCGGGGCATTTACACGCCAAAGACTCAAAACATCTTATCCTGATCTTGAGTTAGGGAATGTCTGTGCGTTTGCTGGCTTGTTGTGCCCCAGCAGACCGAGACAAGTAATTAGTGGTGGGATAAAGACACACTCTATGGATGAGGCATAAACAAGTCAAGTCCCTGATTCCCACTGTCCATAAAGATTAGGTATTTATGACCGCTCCTCCGCTCCGACTTCCGTCCAACGAATTATGAGGGTGGATTGGTAATATCTTTATGCATTCCCAAACAGAAGGAAAATCCTACTACCTACCTGCCTTCTGTTTCTTATATTTTATTTTTTGGACAAAAGATCGCTGACGCGCCTTTTCCAGTTGTGTGACCCGTGAACCCCCCCATCGATTCCCAACTATCTTTATCTCTGTGCATCTGTCGCCAAGCGAGGTCTGAGCAGCTCTAATTGCATCTTTCAGCAATTAGCAAGCCGGGCTAATTTCAATAATTGAATGGAAAACAACACAAAGTCAGAAGGGCAGACGGCCAGTCGGGGGATCAGCCGCAATTGACATTCACATGGGAACTGTCAGTCAACTTTGACCGCAAAATAAACTGAGAAATTACTTAAATGAGAGCAATAAGTAGGTCTAGACGAGGTATGACACATTTTTGAATGCTCTTTTAGAGAATTTAAGTACCTTTTTGGGTTTTAAAAATCTGCTGATAATAAAAATTAAGGGTTTATTGACTATCTTTCCTTTAACAAAGAGAGAAATCTGATTTGTAAATGTTGAATAGCTAATAAATTCGCATAGAAATAAACGATAATATTAACTTGATTTATTTGTTAGTACACAATTACAGAAAACCTAAATAAACTTTCAGTTATAAAGTAAAGTTTAATTACAATTTTAAGATTAGAAAACGGAATTAGTTTTTTAGTTAATGAAATATTTATAACTTATTAAATTGTTGGATGCTAATTGCAGACAGAATTTAATTATATATAATTTAAAGAGCATTTAAATATGACAACCTTTGCAAGTTATTTGCTTTTAGTCAATTGATTTATCGAGAGATAAAATAACTCACATAAAGTTATACTTATCAGATCAAAAGGTTTCTAAGTAGATCACGGTTATTTAATGTTGATAATAATATATAAACATTAAATTCTCAGGTATATTTATTTATATTGCTCGTATATTACAAGACTTTTAGAAACGAAGACCTGCATACCCTAACTTTGTGAGAATTCACTTGCAGAGATATATTGTACTTTATTTTTCACGATTTCCAGAAAGCCATAGTAAGAGGAAAACCAAATTAGCCAGACAGATACCATAGAGAGACGTAGAATTTGATAATATAATATAAACATTTTCTTAAAGATTTCTAGCTCCCTATTGGGATCAAACACCTGCTGCATGCATACCCTTCGTGCTTAGTGCAACCACAGTCCGATTACCGAGTTCAAAGTGAGGGGGCAGCGAACGCCCCTGACTGCCAAGTGCACGGCAAACACAATACACAGAGGCGGGTGCAGCGAGGGGGCTGCTGCAACTGAGACAATTATAAACACAAACACAAACACAACACGAGTGCGGCCACAAGGGGGTGAGCACAAAACGTTGCATGACACGCCAGCAGCAGCAGCAGCAGCAACAAACAATCGACAGCAATTGTGGCATGTGATTTGCAAGTTTTCTATTTTGACGTTCGAGGGACTGACTGCTACCGGGGGAGATCTGAGCCGGGTTGAGTTGAGTTGGGATTGTCATGCATCGATTTACATATTACTGAAATCCGTATAAAAGGCAACAAAAGCTAAGCTTAAGCCGCTCCGCCGGACAGACGGACGGCCAACGTCATTCAGCGTCTCTGCCGCCGTCGTCTTCATTTGAATCAATTAAACCAGTTTGGGCCTACGACTGCGACTGTGGGTATATCTACGTGTATTGGGTGTGTTTGTGAGTCAACCCGTACTCATTAGGTATTCATCTGCCTCTGCTGATGCTGCACTTGATTGATCATTCGCCGAGCCGAGCCGAGTCAAGCCAAGCTGGGCCGCGCCTAAAGTTGGGAAAAATTCCATGAATTCGATTATACAAAGTCAAATTCTCGTAGACATTACTGGATGGATGGACAACCCTACCCCAACCTCCGTTTTCAGAGCATTAAAAACCAACATCAAAGGTGCGAAAGACCGCGAGGGAAAACCAGTCCTAAACACATGCACATCTCTCCCCCGAAATCG